GCTGCTACTCTTGTATTTTTCGCTTCTTCTGGAGAAAAAATAAAAATTTTCTCTTTTGGACCAGAGAGTTTAGCTTTTTTGTTTTAGTATTTGCCCATATTTGTCAGAACAAGTTTCCTTTTTTTCAGAATAAAGGCTTTGGCCCTATTGACTTTAGAATTTTTGTAAAAGCCTGGTTGTTTTTTGTTAAAATTTTGTTTTTTGATAAATTCTGGGGGTAAACCAGAAAGAGTTTTCCTTTTATCTAAATATTTTTAAAAACCGCTTCTAGTAGGACTTGAACCCAAAACCCGCTCGTGAAGAGTTGGATGCCTAGACTACTAGGCTTGTTTGTTGTTTTCCAAATTTTCATCATCGTTATGTGTTTCTCTTGTAGTTAAAGAGGGCTTGAAAGCTTCTGTTTGCTTTTTTTGCTCATTTTCCACTTGGTTTGCCCAACTTGCAGTGCTGTTCTCAAGTTCATAGCTTGTAAACTTGTTAACCTCAAGTTTCTTAATAGAGGTTGTGTTGGTTTTTTGCTTTGTTATCTTCGCTATCGACGTTTTTTGTCTCCTGAAAGGAAAAAATTTTGTTTCTGTCTGAGTTCAGCTTGGTTTTCTTGTTCGTGTTTGTTTATAGTTGTAGTTTCTAGTTTGCGTTTCTTGATCACATGTACTTATCTGCATGTTCGGTAACTTTTCCCAACTAGTACATGTTGTGCTGCCACTACTGGGTCCATATCTCAAGCTATCATTTCAGATACTGCCATAACCCGATTCGTATCTCAAGCCACAACCTTTCTAATTAGTTTCCACTTACTTACTCCTGCTCTTGCAAGATTCACAACAACTCTAGTACTCACGTTTTAACTTCTTTCTTTCTCAGATTCCTTACCGGTCTCTTCCTTACTTCCAGCCAGCAACCCGGAAGGGTCAGTCTGCCCAGACTTTAGGTGCCTTATGGTCTCCATTTTCTTAGTACATGCTTCCAGAGCACATGTCCTTTTTCTCTGGTTGGCGACCCGGCGGTTCAGCTGGTGTGTTCCCCACTTAAGAACCTGGTTGCTCGGTTTTCCGGTCTTGGTTTCCGGTTCCAAATTCAGTCTTCCTGTAGCACCATCAAAGATCACTGCTACTCCCAACTCAGGACTTGCCAAACAGGTTTTCGGTAATTCCGGTTTTCTGGATTTATTACACCGAAGCTCCTATTCGAGATGGTGTGACCAAGATTACAAATATCTGGATCCAACCGATAATCTTAACATTAACCAATACAAATCTAGTTTTTTCAAAATTGTTATTTGTGGGATTCGAACTCTAAACCTGCCGTCTGGGGGTGCGACAACTTCACCACTTCACTAAGTCACCACATCCTAAATATATTAGTTTCTTTCTGACTATATAACCAAATTCAAATATGTTTTTAACTAAGAACTAGTCAATGGGCCTTGTTACATGGAGTAGCGATTTGTTTATTACTAAACAAAACACGTAGTTGCAATCTACTAGGTCGACTGAATTTGAAAAAAGTAAACAATACCAATCTTTTGACAGGGGTAAGCTGTTTTGCTCACTTTTTTTAAAAATTTTGTTGCAGACACAAGTGGGTAATAGTAAAGAGTATAGACCTTGTACTTTTCTTAAGAGAGAGTATATATTTCTTCAAAAATAGTAAGACAAGTAGATCTGAGTGCACTGCTGATATTCTTTTTGGTAAGTAATAAACTCTAAACTTGTTAGCAAGTAGCATATGAGAACTACTTCTAAATAACAAATGCTGTCCCCATAGTGAGTAATAAGCTCTAAACCTATTAGCAGATAGCGTATAAGAACTATCTCTAAATAATAGATGCCAGTTTATAGTTCTTGTCAGTTTTATGTCCTTCTTCTCTAACATAGTTCTATAATTTTTGTCAAAATTTTTTGTTGTGAAAAATTGGTCCAAGGAATCATTAGGAAAAGTTGTATAATTTCTACAATTACTTTTTGTATTTTAATTGTATACATTTATAATTTTTTAAGAGTTTTTAGTTGATATCAATATTTTGTAAAAATTTCTGTAACAAATTTAAGTATTATATTTAGCTTATCTGATTTAATATTTGCTTTATATTTTTATTTCTTAGTTGATTATATTGTAGTATAGATAACTAGCCTTGTTAATTATACTACTTGACTTAATATGAAAAGAGTAAAGATATATATATACAAAAAGTAAAACTTGAATAAAACTTAAAGAAAACTCAAAATAACTCAAGATATAGAATATAGAATATAGAAAATAAAAAAAAATACCTAGAAAAAATACAATAAAAATAGGATAAAAACCAAGAAAAACTTAATAAAAACATTAAAAATACTATAAAAATTTAATAAAAAGAGTATATATATAGTAGTAAATATATAGTTAAGAGTATATTATTTATTTAATAGAAAAAAGTTAGAAAAATACAAGTTAGGACCTAGCAAAACCTATCTTGGCTTGGGCAAAAAAACAGAGTTTTTATATCTTTTAAAACTCTATATAATTACTAATTATAGTTTGTATCAACAAGTCTATATTAATAGGTTTGTACCAATAAGTCTGTACCAATAGGTCTGTATTAATAGGTCCGTACTAATAGATTTGTACTAATAGGTCTGTATTATAGAGATAACAAATTGTTATTTATTATCTTCTATAGTTATATATCTTTAAAATTTAAATAACTTATTAACTAGTAATTTGATTGACAAGTAGTAAAAACTATATTAAAGAAATTGATATTAGAGATTCTATTGGTAGAATCAGATTTGTACTACAATTAGAAGTTATACAAAGTTTCTTAATGAAAATTTAAAAAATATTAATATATTACTAATATAATATTACTTTCTCTTTTAAAAATTTTGCTCTGCAAAATTTAAAAATTAAGTAAATAGTTTACAAATAAAAAAATAATTAAACTAGAAATTAGTATAAGTTCAAAGTCCAAAATATTTAATTAATTGCCTTAACACCTAAAAATCTAGTTTGTACATATCACAAATCAAATTTTTCAAAGTATTACAAATAGAAAATACCACAACTATATTTTTGATAATTTTAATATAAACATATCAAAAGCATAGTTTGGTTATTACTATATAAGCATAGAAGTATAAGTTCTATATTTTGCTTCAAACAATAAACAAATAAATAGCTAATAATAGATAGAATAAAATAATAATAATAATAATAAATATAAAAATTAAAAATAAAAAAGTACAACTATCATCAACACTTGGTATCAAAATTTTAAAAAAAACCAACTCACAAAAAACAAAAGAACTAGTATATAATAGTATGAACCTAAGTTCCAAAATCAAACTATAAGACAGCACCTATTATTTAGAGTTAGTTCTTATATGCTACTTGCCGATAGTCTCAAAGTTTATTATTTACTACAAGAATGGCACTTGTTATTTAGAAGTAGTTCTCATATATTATTTGCCAATAGGCTTAGAGTTTATTACTTACCGAAGAAGAAGTATCTGGCTTTATGTTAAATATAGTAGATTTTTTGCTAGTAAACTACTCTCCTTAATATCTAAAATTTTTATACAAGTGGTTTTATTTTTCTATTTTTCTACTACTTTCTAGTCCTTCAAAATTTTGACAAAAGTAGGCAAAATAGCTTACTCTCTTCAAAAGATCGGCATTGTTTACACTTATCTAATTGGGATATACTTAATAAAATACAACCACGTGTTTGTTTTGTTAACCAACATAGTGCTATAATATAAGATAAATCTGGTGCCTATCTAGGAGATATCTGATATCAGTTACATGTTCGGAAAGAACTCCAAACATTAAGGCAAAGCTTTACAGTAGAGATATATTAAAAGTTGCAATTTAGTATATAATTTTTTAGCCTTGTACAGGTTATAATAGTGTACTCTTCTTATTTGTATGTCATGTCATTCTTTTTTTCTTTTATTTTTTTCATCTTTATCTTTTACATTTAGATTATTTGTTTAGATTGCATAGTATATTCCCCCTTTTTTTGCTGTTTTTTCCTTTTTCTTTTTCTTTTACCCTTTCACTTTCTTGTTTTAGTTTATTTTTTATTTGCTTTATTGTAGAAATAGTTTGGAAAAATCTTTCTGCTAAGATCTAGGTAAAAGAAATTTAAAGGAAAAGAGATGGTCATAACAGGCTACAGAAACTATTTAATGATTTTCTTGAAAGAACTAAAAGGTCTAATCAAGCATTGAAACGAATTCTGTCTTGCAGATCATATATAGATATCTACAGTAACTGAATAAGTTGTACTTTAAATTGATAAGATACATAGTATTAGAAATAGTATAGCATTTGCATATATAATTATTTCTGCTTTTAATAAAGTACAGCATGACTACTCATAAAAAAATAAAATAAATAAAAAATACTTTCTAAACTTATATATAAAAATTCAAATTTTAAAATAATAATTTGAATTTTAGTTAAGAAGTTAACAAAAAAAAAAAAAAACTCATAAACCCTATTCTTTTCTCTTTTTATCTCTTTTTCATCTTTTTTATATTCTTTTTAAAAAGATAAAAGAAATAAAAAAGATAAAGAGGTGTATAGAGTAGGAGAGTATAAAGAGAGATATAAGAGTTTATATGAGCTCTTTTTTGTTAGCTCTCTTGTTTGTACTAAATTGCTTTATAAAATTTACAAAAATCACATTATGGTAATTCGAAAATTACATAAGATGCAGTAATTTATTTTTATGCATTGAGCTAAAAACAGATATATATATCTTATATATACAAAGTAGCAATACTGTCTAAACTTAATCGATATTCATCTTCTCTAATTTATCTCCTTTTTAGAGGATAATACAATAAATTTAGTTAAGTCTTCATATATTTTCATAAAACTCAGAAGTATATTTCTAAATATGATTTCAGTTTTAAAAGAAAGTTTATTAATTCTATATAAAAACCACTTTATAGTAATTAAGACAAAGCATTTACAACCCTGTGCTTGTTCTAATTCTGCTTTAAACTCCTCTAAGTTAATTTTATCTATAGAGAATAACCTGATGTTATAGCAGCACTAAATTTATACTGCTCATCTCCATGAGGTGTCAAAGCATTAGCTAACTTACTACATTTTGTATTATAACAAAATAATGACCTGTTGTTGTGTCTATAATTTCTGCACTATTACTATTTGTATTTGCAATAACCAAAACTTCTTTACGATTTGTTAGATTATTGTATTTGAAAAGATGTTTAGAAACATTTTTTCTTATTTTTAAAATAGGTACTACTTTATATTTTACATTATGATGAATATCAATTGCCTTGAATAATATTTCTTCTAATGTCATTATGTAGCTGAAATAAATCTTTTCAATTGTCATATCATGAATTATAATCATTTCTGCCAATCTGTATATGATTATATATAATTTTATAATAAATGTTGGGAAGATGTCTTTGTCAAGTTAACTAAATAGGCCTAAAATAATATTATTGAAGAAATTTAATTTCAAGTGTAAAACTAGAGATGCTATTAATACTAGGAGTGCTTTGACTTTATAATAAATGCTATTAATTTCCTCTAAAAAATAAGACCTCCAACTTTGTAATCTCCTTAGTACTATTATTCAAAGTGATGTTTTTAGTAATTAACTTTTGGGTATGTATCTAAAACATCAACATTAATGTTTATATTTGACTTCATTATCTTTGAAACTTTTTTCTCTCCAATACTATCTAGCAAGTTATTAAGTATATACCTTCTCTTTAACCAACCAACAAGAATTTTTCAAATTTCTTTGATTGTTAGAATTCCCATTTAAATCTATCTTCTAGTATACAAATTTGTATGCTAAAATGATTTTTGACCTGTTTTTGTGAATTTACTCTAAATTTTATTAAGCCACACCTCCTACTTTTTAAGCTCAGATAAAAGTATGCCGCATTCTGATTACTATATAATTCTTATTTAATAAAATTTTTTTATCAATACTCCAAAAATCGGATATTTAATGTCGACCATAATAGGATCTTCATGCCCAAATTTAATACTAAAAAAGGCACTTTCATGTGACACTTATAAAGACAATCGTTATGCGGGGTCCCTTTTACAATATAACTTTTAAAAGTTGATCAAAGATTTTTATTGACCAACTTCATATAATTGATTTTTGAGGTAATGATAAAAAGATAAGATGGCTCAAAGGTAAATCTGACGGTTTAAGGGATAATACCTACTGAAATTCATATATACTATTTTACCAACAACACTAACCCTAAACCCTAACCTTAACCCTAAAAAAGACCCTAATGAAAAGCCCGAAAATTTTTTAAAATTTCATAATAAAATAGGCCAAAATTTCAATATCATCCGATTTCAGCTTCATCTCCAACAATAAGTATTGGTCACGTTGATATTCGTTAAGTTGTAAAAGTATCAAAAGTTTGAATTGTTAGGTATTAAGACAGGAATGCCGAATTGCTAATAAAACCGTTTGTAAGTTCATAGCAGAATTTCCTGCAAGACTTTTGAAATTTGATAAATATCACGGGTTGTAATTATTTGTAAACCAATAAGTAGAAATCGCCAATGCTAAATATTGACTCACGAGTTCTTCATGTTCTAATATATGAGGATAACGTTTGGTAGTTGGATTAAGTTCAGGTCTTTTTTCAAATCAACAATAGAAAAACTAATCTGAACAAATATATGAATGACTTTGATATTAAAGTTTTTTATTTTTTCTAAATTTCTGATCATGTTTATTGCTTCAAATCCGAGGCGGGTTTTTCCAGTGCAAGAGCCACCAGAAATACTGATCCTTGGTAATCATTTGGACGATAACTTTCTCTCATAAAAGCATCTATGTTATTTTGCAGTCAATCTCGAATGAAACATCTTACATGTGGTTTCTCTATATACTTGTACATCAGTAGTTACAAGACGATTATTCACTTTTTCTATTTTTAAACCAGCGTTGATTATATTTTCTATAAAAAGTGACACTTTTTAACAGAAAAGAATCATGTTTAATAAAATCTCAAAAATATATCATATATTAACAATAACATTAAATTCAAAGTTGTAACTAACAGAGATATTTACCAGTGGTAGGTAATAGAGTTCCAAATTGTTAGTTGAAAAACCAACTAGTTGGCAACTTTTCAACTAATCGATTTAAAAAAAATTTAAACAACTAATCGATTTATTACCAACTGGTTCGATTACGATTAATCATTGGTTACCAACTAGTTGCCAACTAACTATAATTTATATTAATCAACTAAACAACTATTACTATTGATAGCAATAAC